CGACTTTGGAGAGCAAAAACCTGTTCGAAGAGCGGCTAAGATATTTATATATATATTATATATATAAATATCGCACCAACCAAAGCAAGTCAAAAAGGGTTCGGAATTGAACCATGTGGCCGTGCAAGAAGCAGACTCAACCGCGATTGCGGTTTGGCTGTGGGCAGCAGGGTGTTGTTTGCTTGCAGTTGCAGGAGCTGGAGCGAATGCTGCAAGAAGATCCGAGATTAGCAGCCATGTGGCAGAAAGAGCCTGCTGCTGTGAAAGGCTGATCATGAGATATCCTGAGAAGGAAGAGGAGGAGTCTTAATTCTTTTCGGGGATTTCCTAAGTCTTTGTGAGCAGGCCCCCAGCTAGGCACCAGAATCTGCAAAACACTGGGAAGTCTCCCCTCATCCAAATGTGGAAAAGGTTTTGGGCTTTGCTAAATGGCAGCCCAAATACTCATGCACGCAAATGGGTTTCACCAATGACTTTGAACCAAATTACTCCAAACACATGCATCCACATATCAATTATATATAATTATGTGTATAATTATGTATATAATTAATGTATATACATATGTATATATATATACATACACTAATGAATATTTAGCATGCACCCACACTGGGTACGGCTGAGCTTGCTTCGTAGTTCGTGCTTCTAAACTTGACTGGCCCAAGAAATTCTTGATAGATTTGAACTTGTCCTTGTGTGATTTCTCTTTCAAGCTGCTGCAGCCATGGGTGGGTTCGTTTCTCAGAACCTTGTGTATGACTGCACAATTTCTTTTCACGCTTGGTTCATATCAGATGCCGGATCACACAGTGTCTTGAGACCTGATTGCTTTTCGATTGGATAGGTATTCGTTCTGGCCGCGAGGGCTTTTCTGGTCTTTTCTCTTGGTGTGGTGCTTGGGTCATACAATGCCGGCGTCGTTGGGGCGCACAATTGTCCTTCAGGGCTTCCGAATTCATTGTACAGGTGGTTGGCCTTCGCTCTGTGCTGGCACGGTCCTTGTGCAGGTGCCATGTGGCTCATGGGTTTGCGCAGGCTGTGGGCAACCTGCTGGCAATCCTCCATGCGGGTGGTGGTGGAGCAACTTCGGCTGCAAGCCCTGAAAAATCGGTGGCTGCAGCCGGAGCGGGTAATATTCGTTGAGGTGTGGAGAGGTCGGGATGCCACAGGCAAACCCACTCCAGTCCTGACCTCCGTTGTTTATGGCTTCGCTGGTCATAGGTCGGGGGGACGTGAGCCACCTCCAGTGAATTGCACAAAGGGATCGACGTTGAGGTGCACCCCGGAGGGCTGTACTTCTTTACTTTGTGTCATTGGAGTCGGCAGTCGTTTCTGGCGAATGCTTTGGTTCCTTAGGTGTGGGTGGGCTCGGATCGGCTCTCGGGTTGGGTTTGGGCGATGCCCGGCGTGTCCTTGGGAGCGCAATGCCGATCGGTGCCGGTGTAGGGCGGAATCGTGGATCTTATTCGGCATTCCTGTGGCTTCTCATGATCCTAAATGTCGGGTATAGGGCCTTGGTCGGTCTAAGTCCCGAGGTTGATGGTAGGGCGCATTTCTTCCTTATACACGGGATGTACGAA